CACTGGAGGCGGCCTCTTCAGGGCGGGTCTTGCAGGCTTGTTCAGCCTCTGAACCCACAGGCCCTGTTCCAGACCAATGACCCACATTTCCCTTTCACCCCGGGCAGTGAGCCTGCAGTTCTTCAGGCCGGCGGAAAGACAGAGGGTACCGTTCTGGTGTTCTGAGCAGTACAGGCTCCCTGCTGCCCCATGGCCTCCTTCGCAATGCCGAACGAACGAGGAAAGGTCCCACCCCATTCCTGCAGGAGTCCCGCAGCGGATCTGGCTTTTCTGTCTCCTAATCTGGCCTTTTAAAGTAGCTGATCAAGAATATTTCCAGACAGGAATTTTCATAAGACACTACCTTCATCAGGTCCCACTGAAATGCTTTCAAGAATCCCCATTGTTTAGAGTCCAGGCTCCCTGGCTGGGCGTTCGGGGTCGTTGATGGTGTAACCTCAGTCACTCTACTGGCTATTTCTCTTTCTCACCAACATTGAGATTGGCCCAACTGATCGTGTCTCCATTTCTCAGACCTGCCTTGCACACGCCCACCTCTAAGCTTTGGCGTGGGTGGTTCCTCACCCCCAGCCCTCCCCATCCTTCCCTGACCACAGTCTTCATTGCAGGCAATGGCCTCTCCTGCTCTGCCTTGAAAGTGATGCCAGAAAAGAAGACGTGGCCGATGTATGAAGTCCTGACTATCGAAGTTACGACTTTTGCCCCTTTGACAGATGAGGATGCTAAAGCCCAGGGATAGTCAGTAACTTGCCTGTAGTCACAGCTGGTGATTGAGAATGCTGACACTCAGACACACACACTCCAGCTCCAGAGCTCAAGCCTCAGAATGTTCTCCATACAAAACTTGTCTCCTCTGACTCGTGAGAAAGGAGAGAGTTCTAGATCACCCATCAGTGCTCCCTGACTCTTATCCGCCTGTCTTGACTCACAAGACATGGTCCTTTATCCTGGAGTGCTCATCCTCCACTTTTCCTGAAGGGAAAAGCCTAGCCAGCCTTTAGAGCTAACTTGGCCATAATCAGAAGCTGCCTCCATCGCCTTTCTCAGGACTGATTACAGAATTCTGGGGGCCTGGTGCAAAAGGCAAACATGGGGTCTCTTGTTCATAAATGTTTAAGAATTTCAAAATGGTGACAGAAAAACATTAAACCCCAAATGCAATCACACGCAAGGCCCTGTGTGATTGCCTGAGTCACACATCCGTGAAGCCCACCTTGCACCTGCTCTGGGTTCTAGAGCACCTGGTGCTTCCCTTCCTAGCACTCACCACTCTGGGCATTGGGGAAGCAGGGCTCCTGGCCATCCTGGCTGAAGCCACAGTATGAGCAATGCGTAACCCTTAGTAGGTCCTCAATAATATCTATTGAGTTGGAAAAATGCCTTGTATGCAAGAGATTATAAACTTCAGAATAGGTGATTCTGGGAACAAAAGAGATACCCATATGTCTAGGTCCAGATTTTCTGGTGCTTAAAACTTAAAACAATATCTGAAACCCTCTTTAAAAAACAATATACGACTGGGTACTATTATGGGCTTAATCGTGTCCCTTCTAACCTGCGATACCTCAGAATGTGACTGTATTTGAAGACAGGACCTTTAAAGAGGTGATTACGTTGAAATAAGGTCTTTAGGATGGGCCTGAAACCAATCTGCCTGGTGTCCTTTTGAGAAGAGGAAATTAGGACACACACACACAGGGAGAGAAGATGGGAAGACTGGCCATGTGACAGTACAGGGAGAAGACAGCCATCTACAAGCCAAGGAGAGAAACCTGGAACAGATTCTTACTTTATGGCCCTTAGAAGAAACGAACACAGCCAACTCCTTGATCCCAGACTTCCGGCCTCCAGAACCGAGATAATACTTTCCTGTCGCCTAGTGTGTAGTCCTTTGTGTGGCAGACCTAGCAAATTAATACAGATACTTAAAGAAGAAAAATAAATCACAACAAATTGTAAATGTTAAAAGCGGACAGGTTCCATAATAATATCTGAAAATATAGAAAACCTGGTCCTAAAAGTTTTATTAACTGTCTAGCATACTTCTGTCATTCCTTAATGTCCCGTATTTTTGTCTGCATATTCTTCATACCTGACAATAGTTTTATAATGCTATTTTCTATAGAAAGAATAGAAAGGTAGGTTAGCTTATCTTGTAACGTGATTTTGTTTTTTAAATTTTTTTTAATATTAATATTTCAGAAAAGTTTATTTCAGGTTTACGACTTAACCTTGGTAATGTCATATAGGTTTTCAGAATTGTTATCCATTTTAGGAAAACCTCTAGTAAGGTTTATTTCACATATTAGCTGGAAAATGTCAGGAATTTCCATTCGTTTTAATGCAGTGATTAATCTTAAATGCTCTTAGAATTGCCAACACTCATTAACCAATCTGTCATCATTGTTCACACTGTAAGCTTATGTTATCTTTGTCCAAGGTAGCAGTTTATGCCGAATCAGCAAAAGAAGGAACATCATTTTTCCAATGTGAACATAAAATTCATCCTTTCTTTTAATTGAATTATGTAATAATCCAAGAGCCTACTCATTACTTCTATTGGAAATATATCATTTTTATTGGAAATACATCTCTTCCTCTTAATCAATTAATACTTTAGTGTGATCTGAGACTTTTTGTTACAATTTGCTTCTTGATATCAGAATAATTTCAATCTTGACTTCACAAAACTTTAAAAACCGTATAACATATGAATGCATTGCTAGGGCACCTCCCAGCCTTTAGAAGCGGCTGGAGCAGGTGCGGGAACCTGAAGCTGAAGCTTCATTAGCTTCCTGATGAGTCAGCCCTGGTCAAGATTGGAGGCTGGTGCTCAGAAGAACTGAACCAACACGTACTTTCAGCCCCAACTCTTGCCCCCGCCAGCAACACCCGCCTTCAGACCCTCGGTCCCGGGCTGCAGCAAATTTCTGTGAGGTTAGGATGAAATTACACACGTTTTTTGTGTTTGTGTGTAGAGAAAGAGAAACAATATTCTGAACCCACATGAAGTTGCCTTAGGGGGCGTTGTCTATTCATCTGGTCTACCAAAATAAGATTTTTCTCTGGTGTCCTATGTAAGGTTTTTCCATTTGCCTTTTTTGGCAGTCTTACAAGGTTTGGGAATTTTTTTATCCTTTTCACACAGAACCTCTGAGTTCCCGTGGGGCGAAAGAGTTGTTAGAGGTAGGTAGGAGAAGTCCCAGGGTCCCCCAGTGTGGCTGGGGCTTGAGTGGCCCTTGTAGTGTGGGCCCTGGAGCCAGACAGCTAGGGGCTCTTATATGAACTCCATCCTATACCACCCAGGCAACCCAGGCAAACCAAGTCCTCTGATCTTGTCTTTCCTCATCTGTAAAATGGGGGGAAATGTACCTATTAACACAGGATAGATGTTATAGTGAGAAGTGAGTCAGTTATTGTTGCAGGTAAAGCACTGAGCACAGGACTAAGCACTTCACAAGTGCTCACTGTAGGACAGTTAAATTTTTCGTATTAAGGGTATGTCTGGAGAATCAGGAAAACTGGCTCCGTCCTTGCTCAGGAGGCTCCTACCATCCCCTTTTCTCAAGGTCTCATTGGAAGCTGCACGCTCTACTCCTCTAGCCTGGTAACGGTCACATGTCTCATCTCCCATTTCCTATCACACTGTGGGGGTGGGGTGGGGGTTTCTACCAGGGAGACTCAGGGCTTCAGCTCCTTCCTGGCTGAGTACATGAGGTGGATGTACCTGCCGCAAAGACCAGCCAGAAAACACCTGGTGAGTGTTCCAGGAAGACTCTCAGGCTGCAGTTCCCAGGCCATCACTGTTTGACAAGAATCTACTGCAAAACCTGACCCACCGTGTGCCAAACATCAACCATGAAAAGCACAGGTCACACTGCTTCTTCCCAGAAGCCTTTCCGGATTTCCCTCACCTGCCTTGAACTCTGCCTATAACCTGTATCTGCTCTAACTCTCGGCTCAGCTTGTTCAAGAGCCTGCCCCTACTGTCATGTAGAATAGTGCATTTCCAAAATTGTGCACTAAAATCAAGTATTCAAAAGCATAATCTTAGACTTACATGGCATAGCAGTGTGTTTTCCTGGGGATCTAAAAGAAATAGCAACATTATAATTGTGCCTCACCTTTTTTTGCTCTGTGTTTGCCATATACTACCTATATTTTGGACATTTTTGTTATTATATTTTTACAATTCAGCATTCATTGATGTTAATGAAATATCAATATTGAAAAACAAAATGATGTCTTAGATAGCAGACACCAGTCTAGGTGTTTAGGGTACATCTTTCATGGAGTGTGTGGTCTAATAATGAAAGGAGATGGATAGTAAAAAGGACATGTGAAAAACAAGTCAGTCTGTTAGACAGTGTAAGTGCTGTGGCGGGGTGGGGGGGGGAGAAAGAAAACAGAACATAGTAGAAAGGACTCAGCATGCAGGTGGAAGGGGTGTGGGGGTTGCACTTGGAAACAGGAGGGTCAGGGGAGCTCTGTGATATGCTGAGCTGTGAGCAGTGACTTGGGAAGTTGGTGGGGGAGTGAGTCATGTGGCAGTCCAGGGAGAGAGCATTCTGGGTAGAGGGCCTGCAGTGGAAGCATGTCTGGCATCCACTGCAGCACAATCTGCTTAATTCTGGTGAGCATCTGCTGTGGCTTCTTTGCACCTACCTCGTTTATATTGTTTATGAGCCCTATGCTTTCTACCTCTGCTTTCCACTTCTTCTTTTTAATAAAGCAATAAGGACAAAATTCAATCAAATGTGTAAAATAGCTGCACAAACTCTGTGCCTGAGGCAGAGGGTCTCAGGCTGACACTGAACTGCCAGCTGGCATGCTGCGCCCCCACGTGGAAGCTTGGAAGGCGTGGCCCCCAGGCATGGAAGTTCCAGTCTGGCACTTGGAAGGAAGTCCAGGGGGATCAGTGTGCAATGTCTCAATGTGCATGCTAAGCACAAGGGAAATTTATGCAAGTCAGGGGCTTCTGGCTCCATTAAAGAAGAGCCCAAGGCAGAAGCAGGGAGTTGGGGAGGGGCATGTGGTGCTGGTGGAATGTGGGCCACACCCGCTTTCTTCTCTGAGCCAGCGAGGGCTTTCCTGTCCTTGAATCAGAGAGCAGACAGTGTCCCTGAGGCGTTTATGTATGCAGGGCGGGGTGCTGGGGATTCTGGGAGCGGGTGCGGTGCCAGGGAGGGTGCCCTACTGGATGGCCTAGGACACAAAAGTGCAACTTTGTATTTCTTGGCAGAAGGCCATCTGTTCGCTGGATATGCATATCTTTTTTACACCAGAATGCTCTGCACGGGGACCTCTGAGGCACCTATGCTGCTGTTCCCAGAGGCTTAAGGACAAGCTGTGGGACATGTGAGCGTCTGGGCTGGTGAGCCTGGGAATTGGGGAGGGGGTGTCTGTGCAGGGAAGCTGGCCCACCCCAGTCATAAATGCCATCCTCTTAGGGAAATGCAGGAGTATTTTATTGTTTCATTGAAAACTGAGCCCCCAGTGCAGCTGTTCTGCCCAAGAATTCCAGGGGGCAGGGATGGTGCGGGAAGTGGGGAGAGGGCCTGCCTGTCGAGTATCTGAGATCTTATTACTGGAGTTGGGGGGAAATCGGATGCGGTTCCAGGGCTCAAATCTTTCTTGCCCCACACACCAGGGCGCTGGCTCCAGTAAAGGCCATCAAGACACAAGGGCCGTGTGTTTATTCCCCTGTCAGCAGAGCAAATGGTTTCTGAGCCAATTCTGACAGAGTCTGTTTTCAAATAGGAAAAGTTTTTGGGGAAAAAAAAAAAACTCTTTGTTTGGAGAGCAAAACCTGCTTCGTGTTAGAGGTGACAGGTTAGGTTATGCTGCAGACAGGACCTTCCCCTCCTGGGTTTGCTTACAGAGGCTCTCGTGCTAGCTGGTCTGTCCACCTGGAATGCTCCTTCCTCAGGTTTCCCTTGGCCATCTCCTTCTTGTCTTTCAGATTGCATGATGTTTATGAGACCAACTTTAAAGGTTACTTCCCGAGGATGTCTCCCCTGGCCACCCGGTATAAAGCAGTCACGCAGGCACTCCATCCTGGCAGCAATCTCTGCCTGATATGTTTGTGCTCGTGAAAATGCAAGCACCTTGAGACGCAGGGACTGCATCTGCCCTTTTTGCTGCACCGTTACCAGCACCTAGAGTACCCAGCACATGATATTTTATTATGTCAAATAAAGAAATGGTGCTTAAGACCTGGCTTGTGCATTTTCTTTGATGAAGAGATGGAGAAAATATAATGTGGTGGAACAAAGGAGAGGTTAAGGAGAGAGACCTGAATCAGGAAAGAAAAATAATGCCTTTTTTTTTTAACCTCAGACCAGCTTTTTGAGATCAGATCCCATTATGGCTCCGGCCAGGCAGCTTGGGAACTAGGCTAGACTCTCAACAGCTATGACCTCAGTTTTCCCTCCTTTTGTGAATCACATCCCTATCCTACAGAGTCCTGAAATCCCTTTCTCATTTCTAGAATGTTTTCCTGCAACCTATTGAGTTTGACTTCCTCCCTCTCTTGGGAAGAGGTTGTCATTTTACATTTTAAAAGTCAAAAAGAAAATACTTTCTGTCCCTCCAAACATCTCTAGATTCTCCTGCAGCCATCAGCAGCTGTGTAACTTTGATCAAGTCACTTCCCTTCTCTGTGCCTCAGTTTTCTGTAAAGGGAGGAGATGCTGCTGGCTGATGTCTAAGGTCCATCTGAGCTTCTGATGCCCATAGCCAGGGAGCACCCACAAAGGGACTGCTGCTCTGAGGAGAAGCCTCATGACCCAGTATCCCTGGGAATTACTGGAAACAGAAGGCCTCCTTCCTGGTCCCCAGGCCTCTGTCTGCTTGTCCCCCTGGGACTGTCCTTCCCTTGTAATATGCCACTACAACACATCATGAGGACCCTATTTGTTAAGAGAAGGAAAGCAGAGCTGCTCTCCAGGGTGGATTGATGGCATGAAGGGCCCCAGTTTTCTACCCTGCCCTGTATCCAAGCCCTCTTATCAAGAAGTGGAACCTACCCCACGCTCCTTAAATTTGAACCGGCTTTGTGGCTGCTTTGGCTAAAAGAATGCACTAGAGGTATTAATGAATAAATTTGGAGCCCAGGTTTTAAGAGGCCTTGTACAATTACTTTCTCCTTCTTGGACCCTGTAACTCTCATGAAGGTAGATCTAGGCTAGCCTGTTGGAGGATAAGACATGGCACAGTGCCAACTGGCCCAGCCAAGGCCATTCTAGATTAACCAACAGCCAACTGAGCACCAGACACATGAACAAGCCCCAGCCAAGACTGGAAGAATTGCCTGGCCAACATCAGTCCAGGGTGGCTCAGACCAGCAGGACTGGGCAGCTGACCCATAGGTTCGTGAGTGATGGTAAATGGTTGTGTTAGGGCTGTTTCTTATGCGGCGTTAGCTGATCGAACACACTCCCTGGACCTCGCCCCATGGCATCCCAGCCCTCCTTGATTTTGTGCCCTGGAGCATCCTTGCACATGGTCTGCCTTTCTGCCTCCACGCTGCCTAATTTATTTCTGAAAAATAAAACTTCCTTCCTGTAAATAGGCATATGGACAATTAAAGGATATAATTTCATTTTTCAGGGTCTCTTAAAAACTGGGTGGCATAAAGCATCAGCTACTTGGGCCAGCCATGGTATCTGAAATTGTTACCCAAAGAATCAGTCTTTCAAATTACAGTACAGATTACAAACATCATGTAGATAGACACACATGCCACATCCATCTCAATGTCATGAGCTATCAGGTAAAGTGGAAATCAGATGCAGGAATGATCATTGTTATGGTTGGGAAGGGATGCAGATTTGGCAGGGTGCTCCAGTAGAGGCCTCCATGAGGTCGCTGGAGGCCAAGGAAGCAGGAGCCCTAAGGCCAAACACTCCCACCTCAGGGCCTTTGCACTTGTTGTTCCCTCTGCTTGTGACCAACCTGACCCAGATCTTCTCATGAATCATTTTTCATGACATTTCAATCTCTACTCAAATTCTGACTCTTCGTAAAGGAATTTCTTGATCATCAGAGCTAAAATAACCACCATCGCCACTACCCAATCCCTCTCCACAATATCTTTTATTCTCTGATCCCTTTGCCCTGCTCACCACTACCCTATATCGTGTTATGTATCTGCTTATTAAATGATTTGTTGCTGAATGTGAGCTGCCTGAGTGCAGAGGTCTCTCTTTCTTGTGTGCCACCAAATACCTAGCACTTTGAACAGTCCCTTGCTCTTCCCGACGGCATAAAAAAATGCTTGTGGAACAAATGGTTAAGTGTTCGCATTAATTCTAATATAGCTAAATGTTTCATTTGTAAAATAATCATTAAGGAAATAGGCACATTTATAGTATAGCTCAAACATGACTCTTAGATTTCAGAAGGTGTGGATTAAATTCATTGCTTCTCTATTAAAACAAGAAGCATTTGCTTTTCCTTCTTCAAATCATGCCTTACCTATCCCAACCTAAGAGGTACTATGGTTATTTCCATTTGACCAATGAGAAAACTGAGATAAGTCAGCCTCACTCAGTCTTTTCTATCTTACCATGATAGCCAACTTCTGGGATGCAAATTCTGAACAAGAATTGTGGCCAGAGAAAGTGATCTGTGGATCACTTCTGCGGTAAAATCCCTACACTTTGTGTTCTTAACTCCTGTAACAAGGGAGCAAGGCTCCCTTTCCCAGGCCCTGTCTCTGTCCAGCCTGTCCTTCCCGCCATCGGGCAGGCTGGCACTTGCTTGTCTGTGAAGGAGCATGGTGCATGCGAGTCCCTGGTTACTAGGAGCACTGCCAGGCTCCAGGAGCCCGAGGCTGCACACTCCAGCACCTTCTTGTCAGGCGCAAATAAATAGTTGTTAGTGTCTTCCTGGGCGTATGTGCCCGCTGTCATCACAGCAAGGATCTCGGTACTTGGCACAGGCCAGGGTGTAGACACCAGAGGCCTCCAGGCTGACAGCTGCATGGGGTCATTTTCAATTAAAGGATGTCTTGGAAAAAAAAAAAAAAAAAATCCAGTGTCGCAGTCTCTCCTGAAGGCTGCCTGCCCAGGGCCTGGGGACTCCCAGGTGTGGCTGGGCCCCGCCACTCCTCCCCTTGCAGGAAGAACAGCCAGCACTGTGCTCAGCTGGGGGCAGCTTGTAGAATCTTGCCCTGCTCAGGCTGCATTTCCAAACCAGAGGAGAAAGCACAGGAGCCTCAACAGGCGAGTAGCTTCCTGGAGAGTCTCACTTTTTGCAAGTCTTTCTCCTCACTAAGTAGAGGGGAGCCCTATAGCACAGGGGAAGTGGGCAAGAATTCTGGAGTCATACAGAATTGGATTTGAGCCCGAGTTTTGATCTTTGCAGTGTGACCTTGGGCAAGTTGTTTGACCTTGTCGTATTAGTGAGGGCTCCAGCGGGAAGCGGAAGTATAATCAAATTGGGTAATTAGAGGAGAAGTTTATTAAGGGATGATTTTCAAGGTGTGGACGCAAGGGGCCATGTGGCACCTGGGACTAGGAACAGCAGGGCACCATGACCCAGGGAGGACCACAGTGAGGTGAGCAAGGAAGGGGATACCAAAAAACTGAGCCATTAGATCAAAAATATTTTAAGCAATATTTTAAAATTAAAATTAATATAAAAAATTCACAGTGAACAAAATATCAAAATCTTAAATAAAAACAGGCTCCTGCAAAGCCATGTCCAACTTGGATCCTGAGACAAAAGGGAAAAATGGCCTTCCCTATATACATATTTCCATGTATTTTTATTGGTTAATTTTTCCCAGACCATTCAAGAAATTTTTAAAATATTGATAATTGAAAGTAAGTATATAGAACTCACATTACTTTAAGTATTTTATTTACATCACAACAAGAGTGTATTATAATTTTACTTTCCTGGCTTAAAATGGAAGCAAACTCATCAATAATGTTTTCAGAATCTACTTGTCGATTTATGTCATTTTCAATTGAGGAAATTGCCGTGTTTGACAATTTTTCTTGATCAAGTTACTATCTTAAATAATTCTTAAGTAACTTCAGCTCACTAAAACTTCTTTTGCAGAATAACACTAACAGGTGTTGTTTAAAAAATATATATCCTCAAGGCCACTTACACATTTGGAAAAGATTTCACCAAGCAAAATGTGTGAATCAGTTTTAGAAGATCCAAATGCAATATGATTTTATATTATAAATGGTTGATATTACAACTATTTCAGATGAAATTTCTACAGTGCTTAAACCATCGGTATATTTAAGAGCCAAGTCGATGACTTCTTTTTGTAAATCAGATTTATATATGGAACTTTTTACAGCTAAAAATTCAAAATCCAAAGGTACTTTGTTTAATGTCCCTACCTCTATTTTAAATGTAAAATTAGGACATTTAAAATCTGAATTCCTATTTGATATGTACTGGTCTCATCTTAACTGATACTCTTATCCATGATTCAAACATTTCCAATTTCCTTACTTTTTCTTTCATTTCTTTCTAAATTCAGAAAGTATATTCATAAATAGTGACAAAGTTTTACAGTCATTAAATATTTTCAAAATTATTTTCTCTTATTCGTTGTAACTCACCACTTTCAGTAGAAAATAAGCAAAAAAAAAAAAAGGTTTTGAAAATATTAATGATAATTTTGCTTCTACTAAAGCCAGGAAAATATAATTATAATATGTTAAGTTTGGAGTATACCTGAAATATTTAAACCTCAGATATTATATTGTAATATAATATAACTACTTTACAACTTTAGTATAACTACTCTTCAATTTTTCAATATTTTTTCAACTAATATTCTGGAAAAAAATTACCATTAGAAAGAATGTATTAAAGCATGTATAACAGGAGGCACTCAGTTCCCTGTCGTCTCATGTTCCAATATGGCTCCGTACGACATGACCATGACCACTCCTTCTTGGCCTGAAAGGAAAGGGGAGGAGGTGGTTACTGGAACCTGCAGACAGAGAGGGTAATGTGGAAAGGGCTGATCGACAAGAGCTGGGACTATTCCAGGGAAGAGCCAGGAGAGCATCTTGATCTCCCTCTCCTCCCTCACATATCCCCTGATGGTGTTCTACATGGGCTGGACCAAACTGCACGCCAATGGGCAAGGGAGCCTGTTGGTGTGGTCCATGTGGGCCCATGTGAGT